GAGTGACCATTCGACTCGAGGTCCTCAAGGTCTCGAAGAAAAGGTTTTATAAGAGAGTACAGCACGTGCGGTCCAAAATGACTCAACGCTATGCTTAAAATGGATGTCTGCGACGACGACCTTCAATTCGAATTTCTCTCCCAAATCATTTTACAAGTTCAGTTATCAACTCAAAGAAACATGAATTAGTGTATTTTCTCTCTCACTAGGCAAGAAGTCTACAATCCCGTCCTTCTTAACCTCCAATATCTCGTCCGAAGAGCGGCAATGAAACATCAACAACATTCTACTCAGAGATGGCGCTACTGCAGCGGCAGATTGCAGGAGTTTGACGACAGAGCCGTCGTGTTTTTCAGTAATCTGCGGGTACCCCGGCTCAACTGTTATCGTCAAGGTCATCGTTTCGAGATGAAGGAAGGGAGTCGCAGAGGCTGACAGTGAACAAAGATGCGTTAATATGGCGGGCATAGCGTCGTACTTGAAGTCGTTGGCGCCGATAGTGAGGTGTGTGAGGTTTGGAAGGAGATTCGGATTAACAAGTGATAAATCTACGAATGGCGCCCAGTCAGGGCTGGTACGGGTCAAGCTCGGAGGAGGTACTTACGTCGACGAGAAGGAGGGAACAACGAGAGGGCCTTCAACGAATGGGAAGCTGATTTCAACAACTCATCGTGTCCATCGTCACATAGGCAAAGCGTTTTCAAGTGAGACAAGTCGAAAGGAGAACCTGGACGCAGGAACAATACCTCTGTCGTTTCAGGATCGACATCAAAGACATTGAGGCTCTCGAGGACGACACGAGGATGCGCTCCCAACTCTACTTCTGTCTCCTCACCCTCGAGCGAGTGCAGGACAAGTGATTTGATACGAGAATGGTGAGTCGGGAGGAGGTGATCAAGGTGAGTGTATATGACCCGTACGAGGCCGACATGCTCCAAATCTCGGTTCCGTTCCAAGAATGGTGACAAGGTATTTGCCGAAGAATCCGCCTCCGATACCAGGAAAGATGCATTGACCAGGGTCAAACGCCGTAATTCCGTGAAAGACGATTTGCGAAGCAACTCCCCTACGAGCTGGGACTTGGAGTCGGAAAAGTCGATATAGAGCTCTTGGACGAGATTCTGATGTGGCGGAGGCACAGAGTCGTTTATCAAGCACCCGCCTGTGCTTGATTGCTGGAGGTGCCAGGAAATAGAACGAAACAAATGCTTCCTGGCTCTCTGTAGCCACGATCGACTCACTAAGGAGCAGGAAAAAAGATCCGCTTTCGAGTCCGATAACTCATCAATTATACAATCGACGAGTTCCTGCGGACACTGAGAGGCAGCACCAGCGTCAAGTTTTGCTGGCATGGGAGCTGCAGAAGATGCTTAGGCGCCATTCCGAGTGCTCTGCTATATATACTTGTGTACCACAGAGAAAGCGCAGGCAATCACCCCCATCAGACAAACACATCTGGATGAGGTCACCCACAATCCTTTCCAGTGCCCTCAAAGGCCGAGGCGAATAAGGTGAATATGGTAATCAATGCAGAAGTATGTAAAAACATATCACAGGATGGCAGATTTGAATAACGCAGCTCCTACGACTCACTCGAGTTATTCCAATAGTTCACAAGAAGCCGGCCTGGAACTTTAAAGGACAACTCACGGTCCTCTCGGCAGAAAAGAGTTAACTTGGAAAGGGAAGAGTCTTCCTGGGTTATGAATAGCGCCCTTTTAACGCTCATCATATAACCTCCAACTAAAGTAATGATTCCAATCAAGTTATGTAGATAACAATAACGTACGAACTCGAAGGATCCCAAGATTAATGTGTAGTAAAGCAAGTAAATGGAGGTTAAGCACAAGGTGTCAAGTCAGCCTCTTGGAAGTATCAACCGACATCCATCTGATCATCCCTCGCCTTCCCTTTGCCTTTACCGTACGTTGACTGTACATTTCCATTCAAATGGATTTTCAATCCGCTTCCGGCAGAAAGGGTGGTAACATTTGAATTGGAAGTCGTCGTTGTCGGTGTCGGTGTTGAGTTCAAATTCGTATTCGCTGCTGAAGTTGTTGTCGTCACCGTCATGGTGGCTGGTTTCATCTGGTTCTGCATGTCCGCTCGCTCCCGCTCTGCCTCACTTCGTTCCCACTGCCGCATGATCTTATCCACCTCCTCCTCAATACCTTTAAAGATGCTTTCTTTGGGAAAGCCAATTAGCCGTCCGCGACGCGGTCGTTCCCTCGAGTCTACGCGCCAATTGGAAGTTGAGCTACCGTTAATGTTGAGACCTGATCCATCGCCTACGTCGTCGTCGTCGTCGTCGTCTACATCCATCGAGTCTAACGGACCCTCCTTCTCGTCCAAAAGCGCTTCACCTAGCTTGACCCAATTTCTCCTAGTCTGCACCAACTGCTTGAGGGTGTCGCTGACAACCAATCTGTTATCCTCATCAGGGCCAAGACCAAGAGCGGCTGGGCATGGAGGGAGTGGTGGAGGCTCAGAAGATGCGTTATTGGACCCATTGAGACCGTTGACCGAAACACCGTCCTCAGGCTTAATCTTCTTCTTCCTCCCTAATTTTGGTGCCTCCTTCTGCGTTTTCTGAAGCCTCTGGAGCTTAGTATACACATTGAGGATGTTTTTGTCGATAGTATCCCTTAGCTCGAGGTATTCCGCCCAGCCTACCCTGTCCTTTGCTATCTCGGCATAACGCGCTCTGCGCAGACGATTCGCGGCTGAGACGCGTCGGAGCTCGGCTTGGTTGATGCGAAGCGCAGAAGATATGGGATCATCAGTTTTACCGCTGTAGTCGATCTGCTGGGAACCGACGTGACCGCTTGCACTCGGTAGCAGTCCGTGCCAGCGCATGGTATCTCCAATCCGTCGTTCTAGATCTGCAACGGTGAGTTTTTCCTTTCTACTCGCTGCAGCACCACTGCCGCCAGGACGTCCTTCCATCGCATCTTCGGCCGCTTTGACACCTTTCCATGTCGAATGGCTCTCGGGCATGGGCAGAAGTGAGGATATCAGCCGTTCTGTGAGAGGACCATGTCCAAGATGTTCTGTCTGAGTATCGGACTCTGCAAGTGTGGATGGGTCAAAGGAGGGATTGGGCGCTACTGCGTAAGGATTGGGCGGTGGTTCGCTTTCTAAACAAGCTGCTGACTGAAGTGTTGCGTGGGTGGCGGACGTGGCCGGCTCATTCAAACGATCTTGCTCCTCCCACACCTCTAGATAATGCCTGCCCAGCTTAGGGATCACAAACGGTTCTATGTCATCTCCTGTCCATTCCAAAAACCCAATATCTTCTTCCTTGATATTCTTCAAGTAAGGCTCGACACTGGAATAGAAAGTAGCGACCGCTACTTGAGGGGGAGCTTTACCAATCTTGCTGAAATCTTCTGTGACAAGTGTTGGGTGTGAAGGCGCAGGAACGGGTGGCGGTTGAATGGGTGGGCGAGGCGGGAGAACTTGGAGCGATATTGGGACAGTAAAATCTATACCAGTATGGGACTGAGAGGAATTCTATCAAGATCAAATGTATAAACTAGGATGTCAGAGATATAACACGGGATCGACGACGGGGCATACCTTGGATACAGAAGAAGAGGATATCGACTTTGCTGCTTTGGGGGCGGGGGGAACAGAAATTGAATGGGTAGATATCGGAGTACTGCCTTTATGTATTCGAGGAGCAGTTTCGGCTGCAAGAGCAACAAGGAAGATATGAGAGGAGAAACCAGAGTTTAATCCATAATCCATACCCATTTCTATATCACTATCTTCCAGCATATCTCTCTTGCGTTTCTTCTTCTTCTTCTTTTCAGGATCTACCGACGACCGTGAGGATGAAGGCGCGCCGGAATTGGAGTTTAGTGGATGTGATGACATGCGTTGTTTGGTGGAACCCATCGAGCTGGAAGAGAGCGTTGACGCCAAAGGCTTGCTATCATCAGCAGAATCGGGCATGGGTGTCACTGAGACTGCATTTTGGGTTCGAGAGCGTAGAATCATGAAGAGAGGCATAGCAAATGAAGAGACAGAATGTATAAATCAGAGCCAGATTAATTTCCATGGCCGAGGTTGAAGCAAAGATCAATGGAGCAGAACAATGGAGAAATGCAGTCGTTAATGATCAAAGCAGGGAAAAACCAGGTAATGAGGACTGACAATCGCGTTCCCTTTTGACCTTTTCCTTGACTTCCCTTTCTTTACCTTTCTTGGCTTTTTCCTTCATCCTTTTCATGCCTTCGTCCAAGACCTTCATATCTTCTCCAGCCCGTCTTGCCTTTTCAAGAGTTCTGGTCTTTAGATTCTTCAGCTCCGCCTGAAGTGCCTCAAGTTCCTCAATTGGTGGAACAGCTCCATCGTTTGTACTTTTGAACAAGGAGGACCTAAGTGGAGTCGGAAGGGGATATGAAGTGAATGGCTTCGATGTGGCCATTGTGAAGCCAGGTTGATTGGCAGAAATGTAATTTCTCAAATTTCGAAAACGATGGCTCGGAAATGAGATAATCCAATGAACCTTAAACCTTCAGATACTGAGAACAAAGGAAGTCGGTCTCCACGACGACCGGGAGGCGTTGGATACAGATACCGTGGAGAGCGCGAGATGGAGGTCGAGAGTAATGAGAAACGCTTTGACAAGCCATCGGTAATCACGCTTATGTTACCTTCCCACGGGCCAAAGCGACTATCAGCAACTCGTTTTGTCGTCCGAGAGCATTACAAGTCCTCCATTAAGTCTACAGCATACGGTGTTTGGGTATAAATATCCAGCTAGACTGAAGCAAAGAATATATTATCTTGGTTTGATTGCTACTTGGCTTTGAATCAACAATCTTTCTTACGTGTCATGCAAAATTTTGAATCGTAAGACAAGCTTTTAATACCGAATTTGAGTTTGCTTCGAGAGACTCAGACTGCACAGACTGCACAGCCGGCGCCGCGGTTGACGCTAATGGGAGCATTAGATGATAGTATATATATTTTGTGTTGCCGTACGAAAACATGGCCGCCTGGCGAAATGGCATCGCGTCTGACTACGATTATATAACCCATTGATGATGTAATCAATCAGGAGATTGCAGGTTCGACCCCTGCGGTGGTCATTTTGCATTATCTTTTTAAGAATTGAAAAGATTCGCTGCGTGAAGTTCAAGCGACAGTATTATACCGACTAAAAATTTTTTTTTGACAGGAGGGGTGGTGTCACGCTCGATCGAATATTGGGCGCTAAATCTCCTTAGATGTTTTCTTCTCCCCTTCGTCGCCGTTGTGTTTCCTTTTTCTCAACATGTCCAACTGCTCGTAGCAATCGACCCATCTATCGAGATTCGGAAGAAAATACGGAAGACTATCAGAGAAGACGGAAAACAGAATGGAAGCGGAGACAAGGAGTGAGTTTTTGCCCAACTATTCCCTTGGCGTACTATAATAATACATTTAGGGTCAAACTTTCCTAGACCATTTGATTGTTAATATACGAGGAGGTTAGGATTCTCGCCGATTATCCCATGCATCGAATATGACGCAAAATTTCCGTAGGCAAAGGTGGAAACGGCTGCGCTGCTTTTCACCGCGAAAAATTCCTTCCATTTGGTCCCCCTTCAGGTGGAAATGGCGGACGAGGAGGCGATGTTTACATCCTCCCCACTTCTGAATTGACGACGCTGTCCTCTGTCGCCAGACGCATCCGGGGTGAAAACGGCGGGAATGGACAAGGGACCTGGCAAAATGGCAAAAATGGTGCTCCATTGGTTCTTCGAGTACCCATGGGGACAATAGTACGCGAACTTCCTCGAGACGACCCACGAAGAACTAAAGACGAATGGGAAGCAGAAGCAGAGTCATTAGAGGGACTGGATACATCAGAGAAACAAGCCAAGATGAGGGAAAAACGCTGGGTGCATTATCCCAGATATAGTGAATCCAATGTGGAAAGAGACACGTTCAAAGAAGCGGAGCAGATGTTGTACAAGCAGGAAAGGGAACGACGATATGCTAGGCGGAGAAGGGAACTTGAACAGCCGATATATTTGGATCTGGACAAGGAAGTTCAAGCTGAGGATGATCCAAATCTTCCTCTTGGACTTCCGAAGAAGGAGGCATTGGGTCACCTTATTGCTTCAGGCGGTCAAGGAGGACTAGGCAATCCCCATTTTCTAACTCAGGAAAATCGGTCTCCAAAATTCGCTACTCGGGGTCAAGAGGGCGAACGGATAACACTTTCTTTGGAACTGAAACTCTTGGCTGATATTGGTCTCGTTGGTGTGCCCAACGCAGGGAAGAGTACTCTCTTGCGTGCTCTTACAGGCGGTCGAGCTAAGACCGAAGTTGCTGGATATGCCTTTACCACACTCAACCCTGTTGTCGGCGTCGTACGCGTCGCAGCTGATGGCTCTTTTGAGGGCGGTCTCTCCGAAGGCATAGTCCACGAAGAGACCGAGATAGAAGAAGCACAAATCAAGGCAAAAATGGAAGAGGGTGCATTTGCTAATGCGTTAACACGGAATCAGCAAGCGCATACCGCTGCACTCGACCGAGGCTATGGCACAGGTCATCTTTTCGATATCGTGGAACGTTTTCGTTTCACAATCGCCGATAACCCAGGTCTCATTTCTAAAGCGTCTGAAAATGTCGGATTGGGTCACTCATTTCTACGCTCTATGGAACGATCTCTCGCTCTTGTGTACGTTGTGGATCTTTCTGGGCCAGCTCCGTGGGATGAGATTGCTGTTCTGCGAGACGAACTGGAACAGTATCTTCCAGGGATGAGCCAAAAGGCTCGCATGGTAATTGCTAACAAGGCAGATCTATTTGGTGAAGATGGTGATTCTTCTTCGGTCGAGGAAGCAAAACTCAAACTCAAACGATTAGAAGAGTTTGTGGAGAAGGAGTTGACGATGGTGGATGAGGAAGGAAATCAGCGTCGTTTGGACGTCGTGCCTATTTCTGCGAAATTCAGCCAGAATTTGAATAAGGTCGTCAGATTGATGCAGGGCTATGTTGTTGAAGCAAGGGACTCACAGCGAACGGTAGATAGTTATTACAATAAATCTGTATAATAATACTTTACATCTGCCTTTTTTACACCCAACTACAGATCCATCTTTTCACGTGATGAGAAATTTGTAACAGGATCTGTGACAGAGCGCGATCCGTCACGCGCTTTTCTCTTTAGGTTTTGTTCGTCGCGACCATGTCATCGCCGCCAGCCCTCGATTTTCCATCCTCTGATGCTGATATGAATGAAGAAGGCGAACAGGGTACCACAGCCGCAAATAATCCTAACAATAATCCACTTTTCCTGGCCGGAACGCCCTCGACAAATGCTGGTACACCAGCTCGTCCACGAGGCAACCAAAGTGTTGCAGGCAGCTCTCCTCTTCGTAATGTTACCGCTAGAAGGGCTGTTGGTCTCAGTACGCCAAAGCAAAGGCCTCTTTTTGCTCGTGAGTCTGCCATCTTCTGCTTTGCATTTTCTATGAACTGACGCGACCTGCAGCCGGCAGCTCGTCCCCGATCGCGTTTCCAAGCTCTTCTCCCTCAAAAACGCCTCGAAGGCGCGTAAACTTCTCTTCTGACCCCCCAGCTCCGAATCAAGACTCGGAACCGTTGGATTTCCCCTCGTGCGTACCCTCGTTTTTCCTGATAACTTTGACCGACCATTTCCGCGATCTTCTAGGAGCCCAGCAGTTGCGGCTTCCGTACCAGTTAACAGAAGAGGAGATATTCACTCCTCACTTTCTCTTACGCCGACCTCGCATCGCAGAAATCGTACTCCTCGTACTAGTCGCTCTAATGGCGACCCTTTGGCTTCCGATGGCATGCAACTCGACATCCCTCCTTCGTCTGCTGCCCCTTATCTTTCAGCTGCAAATGGACCGACATCCGATGAGCCTGACGAAATTCGTGCTATTTGGGGTACAACTGTCAACATCAACCAAACGATTCAGCTCTTCACTGATTTTTTGAAAAATTTCAAGGTCAAGTATCGCGTTGCGTACAATCGTGAAAATGGGTTGCCCACTCGAGCACTGACTAGCCCCGACGAAGGTGAGGTACTCTTGTATGAAGGGTACCTGCGAAGAATGCGCCAGACCGGAGAAACAAATCTCAACCTCGACATTAGAAATTTGTTGGCATACCCTCCCTCAAAAAAGCTGCATGCGCAGGTCGTCAAGTATCCTCAGGAAGTTATACCGACGTTTGATCAGGCGTTGAAAGATGTGATGATCGAACTGGCTGAGCAGGACCAGGCGGAAGGCATGCAAGGCATGCAAGGTGCTGACGGAGATGCCGAGATTTCCGATATCCTAAGCAAGGTGTACAAAGTCCGTCCTCTGGGATTGGATCCTATCAACATGCGCGATCTTAATCCTTCTGGTGACTCTTCCTTCTTTTATGCATTTGGAATATCTCTGAGACGCTTCCAGATACCGATAAACTCGTCTGCATCAAGGGACTCGTCATCCGTGCTACCCCCGTCATTCCTGACATGAAGGTCGCCTTCTTCCGATGTCTTACCTGTTCTCATACCATCCAGGTTGAAATCTCCCGAGGCAGAATTGCTGAACCCTCCCGATGCCCCCGGGACGTCTGTGCTTCGATTGGAACCATGTCCTTGATCCACAATCGATCGGAGTTTGCAGACAGGCAGGTTGTCCGAGTGCAGGAAACGCCTGATGCCGTACCTGACGGCCAAACTCCTCACACCGTCTCGTTGAGTGTCTACGACGAACTGGTTGACGTCTCAAAACCGGGTGACAGGATCTTCGTCACCGGTATTTTCAGAAGTACCCCTGTCAGAGTCAATCCAAGACAGAGGACTCTCAAGAGCTTGTTCAAGACCTTCATCGACGTGGTCCATGTCAAGCTTGGGACTGACAAAGGGCTGGGTTTTGACAGATCTACCCGACCGTTGGGCGGAGACAAGATTCCTGGAGTAGGCGGGGTCGGCGATGGACTGGACGGGGACAGTCCTGATGCTCAGCAAACCACTGCCTCAGACGGAGCTCAAAGTCGCAGAGCCTTGCACGAAGACCGTTTGAGGGAACTTTCTAGGCGACTGGACGTCTATGAACTCCTTGCGCGGTCTCTTGCGCCCTCTATTTGGGAGATGGACGACGTCAAGAAGGGCATATTGTTGCAGCTGTTCGGTGGTGCAAACAAAAGTATCTCGAGAGGTGGAGGCGGTGGTGGACCTCGATACCGAGGCGATATCAATGTTCTTTTGGTTGGAGATCCTGGAACCAGTAAGAGTCAGATTTTGCAGGTCAGTCGAAGAATTTTCTATGTCCTTTATTCTGGTACCAATGCCTCTGTAGTATGTTCACAAAATTGCTCCTCGGGGAGTGTATACCTCTGGAAAGGGCTCCTCAGCAGTTGGTTTGACAGCGTACGTCACCAGAGACCCAGACTCGAAACAGTTGGTGTTGGAAAGGTCAGTAATTTTGCGTCTATTTTTTTTTGTCTTTCACCAATAGTATTTTTATCTCAGTGGTGCCCTTGTTCTGAGCGACGGAGGTGTCTGCTGTATCGATGAATTCGATAAGATGTCCGATGCTACGAGGAGCGTTTTACACGAAGTCATGGTTTGTCTAGTCGTACAGTATAACTTCTATCTCCTGATTCATGCGATTACAGGAACAACAAACCGTCTCTGTTGCGAAAGCAGGCATCATCACGACATTGAACGCTCGTACATCCATCCTTGCAGCGGCCAATCCCGTCGGATCGAAATACGACGTGGACATGCCTATTACCAGAAACATTGACCTTCCACCGACACTGATCTCACGATTCGACCTCCTCTACCTGGTTCTGGATCAAGTAGATGAGAATTTGGATCGTAGGCTCGCTCAACACTTGGTTGGTCTGTACTTGGAAGATACGCCGGATAACAGCGGAAGTGACATCCTCGTACGCTTTTCTTACTCTTTGGATGGTGTGGTAGCCTGACGACGGTTTTTGCAGCCGATAAATGAGCTTTCTTCTTATATCGACTACGCTAGGTCCAGGATTCACCCTATTATTACCGAAGCTGCAGGCAAAGAACTTGTAGCAGCCTACGTCGAGATGCGCAACATGGGTGCCGACCCACGAAGTT